GAGCTGTGCGGATTGTGGAAACTGTTTATGACTATTAGATTAAGGTATTTGCATTCCAATAATGCTAAGGGAAGGGAAGTAAAGAGGTTCGTGACGTAGGAAGTGATGAAGAAAGCAGTAAAGGCGAGTTTTTTGGAGTGTGGTAACTGTTTATGACGATTAGATTAAGGTATCCCCAATCCTAAAATGCTATGGGAAGGGAGGTAAACAGGTCCGTGACGTAGGAAGAGATGAAGGAAGTGGTATAAAGGCGAGTTTTTCGGAGTGTGGGAACTGTTTATGACGATTAGATTATGGTATCTTGGTATCTACAATCTTAAATTTCTACGGGAAGAGAGGGAAATGTCTGCGACGTAAGAAGAGGTGAAGGAAGTAGTAAGGTAAGGTGAGCAGTGTGGAGTTTGGGAACTGGAAACCGTTTGTAGCAGTTAGGTTAATGTATCTGCAATGCTGAAATGCTATGATAAGGGATGGAAGCATGCCCACGACATAGAAAATGGTGAAAGAAGTAGTAAAGGCTAGCAGTGCGGAGTGTGGGCAATGTTTGTGGCAATTAGATTAACGTATCTAAATTCCTAAAATGCTATGGAAAGTGATGAAAACAGGTCCACGATGTAGGAAGTGGCTTAGGAATCAGGTATGAACATATGTTGAGAACCGTCTGTGGCAGTTAGATTAATGTATCTTCAATCATAAAATGCTATGAGAAGGGAAGGAAACATCCCCCACGACGTAGGAAGTAGTAAAGGCTGGCAGTGCAGAGTGAGGGAACCGTTTGGGCAGTTAGATAAATGTATCTAATACTTAAATGCTGTGAGAAGGGAAGGAAACATGTGTATGACGTAGGAAATGGTGAAGGAATTAGTAAGGCTTTCAGTGCAGAGTGTGGGAACTGTCTTTGGCAATTACATTAATGTATCTGTAATCCTAAAATGCTATGGTAAGAGACGGAAACAGGTCCACGACGTAGGGGGTGGTGAAGGAAGTAGTAAAGGTGGGCAGTGTTGAGTGTGGGAATGGATTAATGTATCTACAATGCTAAAATGCTATGGGAAGAGACTGTAGACTGTAGGTTAAAATGATTATGAAGCACGAATCGTTACATAATTCGATACGTATTCAATCGTTTACAATAGAAATTTACAACTGAGTTGACAACAGCTGAGTTTTACTCCATAGAGGCTAAAAACGAATTTTATTCCCTAAAGAGTAAAAATGCTACTTTAGACCCGCAACGCATGCATCAATGACGACTGTTTTCACTGCAGTATGACAAAAACAATATAATATGAACCATTGATGACTCCGCTCAATTTTGTGGATGCTTCTGCGAACGCCACCTAGTTAGTAAATCAGCTGATCGCCCAATGCAAGTCTTATGGAAATTACAAGTTACAAGTTGTAACTTGTAACTTGTAGTTTATTATGAAATGGGCCCCTGATTGGAAAATTATTTTACTATTAAAATATTAGTCCGCTCCGTATGACGGCACTGAAGGGCCACCAACTATAAAAAAATATTTTTCTTAATCTCTGAGAAAAAACTTAGAATTCTGAGTTTAAAGTCAGAATATAACATGTGGGCGTTCCACTCTGAGATTAAAGTCAGAATTCAACTAGTGGGCGTTCCCCTCTGAGATTAAAGTCAGAATTTAACAAGTGGGCATTCCTCTCTGTGAAAGGAGTTAGAATTCTGAGATTAAAGTCAGAATTGAATTGTGGGCGTTCCTCTCTGGGAAAAAAGTCAGAATATAACTACTTATATGGATTAGTCTAATATGGTAGTAGAGTAGGATGACTTCCTGTTTTGGTTAAGACTACGGCCGTCTCTTTATAGAAATGCCAAGTAACAGCTCCTATTACTTTTAACGTAACGGTTGTGATATATCGCTCATTACTTATTACCAAAGCTGCGTTGTTGACCAGCATAGCTGGATAAACTGTGTATTTAAAAAAAATATATAAATATCAATTATTTACAACAACAAAATAAAACTTGTATCTTTCAAGAAAATCAATTTGAAAGTTTCAAAAATAAAAATAAAAACTTGGCGGGTGACTACGGAGGTGATTGTGCACTCTACCATTTGTCATCAAAATACTCTCTCACGGAGTAGTATCATTGACTAGTCAATGGTAGTATGCTCCTTGAAGAAGCCTATCTCGTACAACCCTGGCAAACTTTTTTTCCGGAAGACTGCTAGCTGTCTTCACGCTAACTGTACCCGTGCCGGATAGCTATTCCTATTACCTTGGAACGAATTCATTGGTAAATGATGTGTTAAAATCTCGCTGATTATTCGAAGGTACTAACATAAATATGTTAATTCAGTATGTTTTATCATAGATAAAACATACTCCCTTAGTTTTATCTATGGCACTAATTAATCGTGTATACTCCGTTCACAACAATTTGGAAGAAATAATCTACCCCCATCGCTTGATCTTACCTTTAAAATAATAGCTCAACAGCTGAGTTTTGCTAAAATGTCAATCAGCTGTGGTTTGCAACAAAAGGTAGTAAGTTCCCATTTAAACCACCTAAATCTTGTTTACGGAGCTACGACGGCGCTGAAGGGCCACCAACTATAAAAAAAATATTTTTCTTAATCTCTGAGAAAAAACTTAGAATTCTGAGTTTAAAGTCAGAATATAACAAGTGGGCGTTCCACTCTGAGATTAAAGTCAGAATTCAACTAGTGGGCGTTCCCCTCTGAGATTAAAGTCAGAATTTAACAAGTGGGCGTTCCTCTCGGTGAAAGGAGTTATAATTCTGAGATTAAAGTCAGAATTGAATTGTGGGCGTTCATCTCTGAGATTAACGTAAGAATGCGGCCACCAATGCGGCCGTGCTACTATACTCTACTGTACTCTTCTCACGGCCACCTTTAACTCCAGCCGCGGCCTGGTAGAATTGGCAACGTTGCAAGTAGAAGAACACAGTAGAATAGACAACAGAAATGATATTTATATTATTTCTTTTGTCTAAGATAGTAGGGATGATAGCATCGATATGCTGATAATATCGTTGCAATAAGAGAGGAACGCCAACAGTTCAATTCTGACTTAAGAGTTGAATGCCCACTACTAAGTTATTACTACTTGATATATAGTAAGTAGTGGGCATTCAACTCTTAAGTCAGAATTGAACTGTTGGCGTTCCTCTCTTATTGCAACGATATTATCAGCATATCGATGCTATCATCCCTACTATCTTAGACAAAAGAAATAATATAAATATCATTTCTGTTGTCTATTCTACTGTGTTCTTCTACTTGCAACGTTGCCAATTCTACCAGGCCGCGGCTGGAGTTAAAGGTGGCCGTGAGAAGAGTACAGTAGAGTATAGTAGCACGGCCGCATTGGTGGCCGCATTCTTACGTTAATCTCAGAGATGAACGCCCACAATTCAATTCTGACTTTAATCTCAGAATTATAACTCCTTTCACCGAGAGGAACGCCCACTTGTTAAATTCTGACTTTAATCTCAGAGGGGAACGCCCACTAGTTGAATTCTGACTTTAATCTCAGAGTGGAACGCCCACTTGTTATATTCTGACTTTAAACTCAGAATTCTAAGTTTTTTCTCAGAGATTAAGAAAAATATTTTTTTTATAGTTGGTGGCCCTTCAGCGCCGTCGTAGCTCCGTAAACAAGATTTAGGTGGTTTAAATGGGAACTTACTACCTTTTGTTGCAAACCACAGCTGATTGACATTTTAGCAAAACTCAGCTGTTGAGCTATTATTTTAAAGGTAAGATCAAGCGATGGGGGTAGATTATTTCTTCCAAATTGTTGTGAACGGAGTATACACGATTAATTAGTGCCATAGATAAAACTAAGGGAGTATGTTTTATCTATGATAAAACATACTGAATTAACATATTTATGTTAGTACCTTCGAATAATCAGCGAGATTTTAACACATCATTTACCAATGAATTCGTTCCAAGGTAATAGGAATAGCTATCCGGCACGGGTACAGTTAGCGTGAAGACAGCTAGCAGTCTTCCGGAAAAAAAGTTTGCCAGGGTTGTACGAGATAGGCTTCTTCAAGGAGCATACTACCATTGACTAGTCAATGATACTACTCCGTGAGAGAGTATTTTGATGACAAATGGTAGAGTGCACAATCACCTCCGTAGTCACCCGCCAAGTTTTTATTTTTATTTTTGAAACTTTCAAATTGATTTTCTTGAAAGATACAAGTTTTATTTTGTTGTTGTAAATAATTGATATTTATATATTTTTTTTAAATACACAGTTTATCCAGCTATGCTGGTCAACAACGCAGCTTTGGTAATAAGTAATGAGCGATATATCACAACCGTTACGTTAAAAGTAATAGGAGCTGTTACTTGGCATTTCTATAAAGAGACGGCCGTAGTCTTAACCAAAACAGGAAGTCATCCTACTCTACTACCATATTAGACTAATCACGTTTTTGCTACTACCAAAGATTACATATGCTAGCATTTGTAATCTTTGCTACTACATACCGAACAATGACCACATCCACATGACCTTTGAGGTTCAACCGCTCTGTTCACTGCTACCAATACAGATATAGGGTCATAACTGAAATTTGTATCTAATAAGCTTTCCAGGAATATAGTATTTTTTATTTGTATCTTGATTCTTATAAAGAAGTGTATGTTTGTGTTAAGTAAATGTTTGAAAGTGTATACACAATGTATACATCTGGCGTTTTAATGGCATGGTAGTAATTTCAGTAAAATGTTGTAATTTTATTTTAAAGGATTTTTTATAACTAATGGGAATATCCTCGATTTACACTGGCAGTTGGCAGAACTGATGTTGGAGTTGTCTTCCTTCGAGCCTCGACCTCGACTCTAGCTGGTTTGTAACTTGACAAGCTGGTACCTACCTAGCGTACTACGGTACTTTACCAAACCAAACCAACCAGCTTGTTTGTGTTTGTGTTTGTAGTTTGTGTGTGAGTGAACTCGAACTGTTGTTTGTAGGGCAGGGGCTAAACAGGACTCAGCAGGAGCAAGTGTGGAGTTATACGCAAGTAAATTGTAGCTTAGCTTAGCCAGGAATCGTTGACAAGTTTTTCAGTTGCCTTCTTCAATTTTAATAAACGAGAGAACGTAGATTATGATTGACCGATTTATTGAGGATATTCTGAATGAAGTTTTACAAAGGTGAGTAACTGTAAAAACTATGATAGGTTATCAGCCTATGTACTTTATTTTTTGTTAACTTATAATATTATCATAACAAAACAGAATCTGAATCATTTTTTTTGTCATTTGACATTGCAAAAATGCACACAATAACTTATAGCATGGCTACACCGCTACAGTCAGGCTAGACACAGATAACTTAACATGTCTATAATTTATGTTCATTTATGAGGTGTCAGCTCTGTGGATTAGGCCTAAACTTACCTAACAGTTTGGAATTTCATTTAACAATACAGTAGAACCTCAATAGTTCGACACTTTGTAGACTTTGAAGGGGTGTCGAACTATTGAAATTTTGAACTACTTACTACTACTAAGTAAGTTATCTACTTAAGTTATAGGGAGTAAATGGAGTTTAAGTTAATACTAGTGTACATGTTGCTCGAATTCGAGCAATTGTAAAGTATTACAGGATTTGCAAACCAATCCAATAACTAACAATCATACTTAGCTATCAACATTTCAACAAAAACACACCTACCATCCCTGTAGCAGCAAACCTAAGTCCTCATATTAAAATTAACTTAATGTTATTTAAATAGGAAAAAAATGACAATTTTAAGGGAATATTAATCTTTGTATTAATTAAGCCCGGTAAATGGAAATTCGCTTAGTCTGAAGGTTTGCTGCGGATACACAATTTTAATAACAGCAAAGATTGAAAAATCTGAATTATTACTTATATCCATAAATTTATCTAACAATTATTTCCTGTAAAATATTATTACAGCAGTTCAAAAATATTGAAACTAACTCGATCAACAAATGATGTTGAAAGAATTCCATACTAATGACTTTAACATATAGTTTGACAGTTCCATTTAATCAATGTTAAACATTCGGGCATAGACAAAAATGATTCGGGCGAGTGACATATTTGATTAATGTTTATGATCCCTACCGTTCCTGTTCTAATAATCATGCAGTATTTAATATGTTTGAACCAGCTGTGTAGAATTGTGAAATCAAAATTAATTTGACAGTTAGTTCTGCTTGTTTACATTTTTAAATGTTGTGGGTTTGTTCTTTGTTACCATGGATAGGGAATGGGCACACGGAAGGGACTAAGGCTAAAGGTGTAGTGACGTCATATCTCTAGTGGTTAATGTCTTCTCTTGAGGCGACACGATTACCGTAACGAAACGATGTGATTTCAGCGGCGTTCGTGGCATAGTTGGTAGCGTTTCGGATTGATGTTCAGGAGGTACGGGGTTCGAAACCCGCCGGTGACACTAACTTTTTATCAACAAATTTTTCATATCAGCAAGTTTGGTTGGTTAGGTTAGGTTATGACAGTTTAATTTTATAATACTAAATTTTAAAATTAATTTTATAATTAATTAAAAATTATAAGTTATTATTAATTAGATTTTTATCTTATATAGTTTTTATATTATCAGCAAGTCTGGTTGGTTAGGTTATGTTATGACAATTTAATTTTAAAAATTAAAAATTTATTTTGTAATTTTAATTTAATAATTACAAAGTTAATTTTATAACAAAAAATTAAAAATTAATTTAAATTTTTTCTAGCAGTCCTAGCGGCGAACGCTGACACTACAAGATATGTTAGCCTTAGTCCCTCCCGTGTGCCCCACCGCCATGGATAGGCCTACCATCAATAAATATTTCACTCTTAATTTCTGACAACAGCTGGAGTTCCATAACAAATTTTGTTTCCCATGTTAATCTTATGGATAAATACAAAACTTTAAAGGGCCCCAGGGCCTCACTCTCTAATTATTTCCTTAAAAAGAAAGTTTCCTGCACAACTTCACGTTACGCTCTTTCCAATGACACCATAAACATGTCAATTGGTTCAGTTGTTTTGGAGGAGTAATTGTCACAAAAAACCTGCTTGCGTATTAAATAAGTATAGATACAGGAATGTAATAACACAAGTTTTAGGCCTAAATATAAATCACCCAAATTAATAAGGCCTAAATACTAAAAAGCTTTACAATTTCACTGTTCATTAGTCTCAAGTCAACAATAAATTGCAAATTAATGTTTAAGTCAGCTTACATCACAATAGTATCCATTATATACTTAGTATTTAGCCATATTTAGGCTTATTTATTTTGGTTAAACATTTATATGCATATTCGTCAGTATCTTGAGTTCTTTCTTATTGTTCAAAACTGAAAAAAATGGAGTTGTCCGTTGAAATGTAAAATAAAATAAAATAAAATTAAATTAAATATCACCCGTGTCGAACTACAAGGAGTGTCGAACTATCGAGAGTCAAACTATGGAAGGTTTACTGTACAATATATTAAGTTAATAGTCAATGGTTATATAAACAAATATGATGTAGGCCTACAGTATAAGCCGAATTGTAGATAGCCTATATAGATTTGAGTTGGGATTGATTAAGTTACATAAAGTGTAAATGGATAAGTTAAGATTTGATTGTGTCTTGTCTTGTGTTATCTAAGGAATTGTGCAATAGCTTTACCTTAGGATTAATTACATTGATGTAACTTAATTAATGTTTTCCAGATGAATATAAGTTTACAAGCCGATTTTCAATAGCACAAGAATAATAATATGGAATAATATTAACCTGCCTTCACTGGGTTAAAATGGCAGCCAAAAGTAAGTATTATCATAAACTGATAATTTGTTTTAATACTTTAGATTTATATTCTGTGGGATAGTACCTTTAAACATAACGCTACCTAACGTTTTTGTAGGTTAGGGGGGCCTACTGGTAATTGTTTAGTTTCGCTTAACTTAGGTAAGCTACTTAAAAAAAAATAAAAGGGAAAAACAATTTTTTCTCATGGGCATTCTTTAGAAGTCCCCCCCCCCCCCCTAACTTATTGTCCGTGAGGTAGGCGAAGGACTCTAAGGGATTAACGTCCCTTCCACCAACGCACACGCACTCACCAGCAGGGCCCTACCTACCCCACGGCGAGTGACCCATGTGTGTGTGTACGGTGTGTCTTTGTGTCAGGGCCGGATTTATCTTTATGCCGCCTGTAGGCTACAAGTCCTCATGCCGCCCCATATATATGTATATATTTACTGCTGAAAACATATTTATAGGAAAATTACCCCCACTCTACCTCGTGGTAATATTTGGTTATTCATGCGCACAGACTAATTTTTGCCGTTCTGCAATCTGCACAGTACCGCTCGGTAGTCGGCGATCGAAAATACACGTGCAAACATAAAATATAACCTACGAATACTATTACTATATAATCATTCCACTCAATCATACCAATCAACTCCACCTGTATACTATACAAAATAACATGTATCATAAATTTTTGGATTTATAATGTTAATGTTACGTCAAATAAAATACATTTGAGATCATTCTTTTATATAAGAAATGTATACATTTCTGTGCTATTGAATATCTTTTAATACTGGAAAATTGTTAAATTAAATTTAGATAGTTCTGCAAGGTGAAATTTAAGTTGACGAAATTATTTGAATCACTGGTTTATTAGTTGAAATATTTACAACAACAAAAAAACTTCGTGTATAGTCCAATACAAGTATTTCATTGAGCGATTAACAAAACTGATAACTAATTTATTGTGTATACAGTATTTAAAAGGCTTTCTTGTACCACGGACTGACTGTATGGTAGTGTAAGTGTCAGTGGTGGGGAGGGGGCTGTCGGCTGTCACGTCGGCGTCGTGGCTGCCGCTCCTGGTCGTACGTTGGGTCGTACATCCACCAGCTGCAGCCCGCCTGAGAGTCGCCAGCTTCCAGTGTTGCCTACACCAGATCGCCGCTCGCTGCGTGTTGGCGCAATGCGATTGTACATATTATATTGTGTAATAATACGTATGTCGAAATAGAAAATAAGAATGTATGAATATTCTAAAAGCTTTATTTAAATGACATGTATACTTGAATTTGTAAGGAAAATAATATTGCATGTAAAAAAAAATATTTTAATTTTTTAAATCTGCCGCCCCTAAATTTTGCCGCTCTAGGCTGCAGCCTACTTAGCCTATTTAGAAATACGGCCCTGCTCTGTGTGTGTGAGGGCTGTAATCCCTTAGAGTCCTTTGCCAGCCTCACGGACTATAGAACTTATGGAGCAAACCTCTTTTACGTTAAAGACCACAAAAATTGCCCACTTGATAAAATTGGTGTTTCTATATTGTTTTTCCCTCTGGCTTTTTTTGCTAATTGGCTACCTTTTTCTCTCTGAAAATCAAAATTAGTATTTACAGCAAGAGATCGTTAGCTGTTTTTTATTGGTTTATTGAACAATATTAATTACAGTAACTTACCTAAGTTAGTCAGTTCCATTCCCTTTCTTAAGGCCATAACATGTGAACTATCAAAAATAGTTAGTTCAAACATATATTATTTAAATATGAAATTTGGCATCCAGCCGAAAAAGATACAGAGGGGGTTAGCTTACTTACTTATTTATGATATATTTTCATATTTGGTAATTTAGTTTTTTTCATACCATGCTATTAATATTTTGAAAAAAAACACACACTATGACACACAGTGGCGGTTCTAAGATCTTGTCAAGGGTTGTTTAAAAGCACACCCACTTACCAGGAGGGGATTCGGGTTGAATTTGTGAATTCACTATTTTCAAAGCCGTTTGGCGACTTTTTAAAGCCATTTGCAATGTTTCCAAGTGTGTCCAAAAACCTCAGTTACAGTTCGTTTTTAGGATAAAATCAAAATGTATATTTAAATTTACATTTTCAGGGTCCAATGGGGAGAGGGCTTCAGCCCCTACCCTATAGCCCCCCTTGGAACTGCCACTGATGACACATTCCTTGTAGAAGCAAACCTAAGTTTTTATAGTACAGGCCCTACTTACCTAATGTTATTTAGATGAGGAATAAATCCCAAGCTTAAGAATCTATTTCTGATCGGAAATCCAATCATTCTATTTGCTGCGGCAGGGATGTTTTATCCTAGGTCAACATTTCAATACGTAATTAGTATCAAACTCAGCTATTAAATGCTGTAAAATGGAAAAGGGAATTATAATCTCTAATGCACCCGGAGTGGTACAGCAAGTTTAAAAAACTTTCTTTTAAATCTGTTGTTAATTGTTCCATACTTTATTTTTACTAATAGTAGGGTTTCCACTATTGAAATGTTGTTAATAGCCCGTCACGTTCAAAGTGTTTGCCTACAAAATTATAAGCTGTTCTGCCTGTTTAATTATAATGCCTATCTTGATTGAACACTGGAATTTACAAATTTTTGTTTTTTAATTAGCATTGGTCAAGCATAGCTCACTCAGAGCTTTTGGTAAGATTATAACTGATGTTCTTCTTTCATAGTATTGAATTCAATTATGTCTGATAACACACCTCTGTTTGCTTTCAGGTGAAGAGGTTCACTCGAGTGGCAAAAATAAGAAACAATCAGCAGGTAAAGCAGACTTTGACTCTTTGTATGATCAAATATCAGAAGGAAATGCACTTATAAAAGCAAATGCGTCATTTTGGACAAGAAAAGGCAATAGCACAAAATATATGTGTGTTCTTTGTAATATTGGTGTACAGTTTCAGAAGAATTTGAACGTTTTTAAATCTTCTATCATAGCTCATGTAGAAGACAAGTATCACAAGAAAAGGTACGAATCATATCTTGCTGGAAGTATGAACACTAGTTCCGCAAACACACTTACCACAGATAATAAGTGTTCGGACACTACAGAAACACAAACCTTGACTAAAACTCAACCGAAAGTTTCCGTTGTAGCTATTTTAGAGAAAATGGATAAAGCTTTAACACATTTGACCGACAAGTCTCAAGAAGATGAAAATGAAAATGACTATTCGGTAGATATTGAGATGTACGATTCCATTCTTAAAACACTGAAAGTTGTAAAAACAGATAAACAATATATCGTCTCAAGCAGTAATGGGAGCAATTTCTATTGCACTATTTGCAATGTCCTGATTTTCAACTCTCCTAACTCCAAACAGTTGACATATAACTTGTTTGTCCACTTAAACGACCCAAATCATGTGGAAAAGTTGCCAAATTTCCCTGAAGTGAAAAAAGACTTTGATTTAAAACTTGCAACTTTCTTTAAGGCTCTACCTGCATCGTTCAAAGAGGAGATACATGATATCCAAATAGGTCCTGCTATTGATTTTGTCAAATGTACTCTCTGCAATTTAGCAGTTTCTGATAATGTACATCGTTTAGAAAATCATTTGAGATGTAAAGGGCATTTAAATAGAAGACAGAGACGTGTGAAAGGGGAAAAACTTTACTTTGACTGTGTTAGTGAACGTATTTTGTATAAGTTCAGGAAACTAATTGATGAGCTTGATAGGGAGTTTGTAAAAGATGTAAAGTATATTTTTGTTGGAAAACTCCCAGGATATGTTGTGTGCTCCTTATGTTCTTGGGTGGTTTTGCCTTCCAAGTTTTATCTGGAAAGGCACATCAGTTCAAAAATGCATAAACAAAACAAGTCCAAATACCTTAAAGGCAAAGATGTAATTTTTGAAATAACTCTAGAGGATTTACAGGAATTACTTCCAAGCAAAATGAGAGCTGACATGATTTTCAAAGACGCTACATGTGGATTCATTTGCAAACTTTGTGACACAATTGTTCCGCCAACCTATTACGATGTCTATACTCATATCAAACAAGAGAAACTAGCTCATGAGTCTGGATGAAAAAAAAATCATATATCATCATATGCAATAGTTGCTTAGTGGTTTGTTCTACACTCTCCATAGTTAAATATTATACTTACAAAACCATCGTATTTATCTAATATTATTTACTCACAATCATCACATTACACCAATTTTCTAGTGATTTGTCATAGAGTAAGTTACAATACTAATAAAATAATCAATACACAAATGTACATTATTTTATTTTTATAATAAAAATTCCCTCTTGGAAGTAAGTTGTAAAAGAATACAGTAATTTAAAATGGTTTTTGAAGGATCCTTCAGTTCTTTATAGGAGATTTTTTATTGTTTTTAAATACAGATAAAGTTTATTATTAGTCCTGAACGTTAATACAACATTATTTTAATGTTTATCTCCACAATGTGCTATTTAGGTACATTCAAAACTCAAAAGATTTATATATTGTATTGTTTGATATTTTGTTTGTGTGGGTATTTCTATCTTTGTGTTTTTAATTTGTTTATCTAATTAAATGTCTGTACCCTTTAGACACTTCAATGTATTTTAGTGTATTTACCTCCTCCTGGTAATCTTCAGATAAGGCATTGATAATAGTCTATTGACAAACTTCTATGTGGCTAATTTATTTTTTGAGGGTGATCTGCGGTAGGGTATTATATAGTTTTGAGTTGTGGTCATTAGCTCTCTGTAAATTTTGAATTTGTTTTTGTTGGAGCATTTTTTTAAGAATTTGGGTGTATAAAATAATTATAATGACTTTTTGTTTTTGATATTAAGTTTAAAGTTAATATTCCTGAGTAAACTGTTTATATGTTCGTAATGTGGCATACTTTGATTAATTATAGCATTTATAACACAGAAATATCTTAATTGTTCAACATATGGAATATTAATAAATAAGTCAACTGGACATAACGTGAATTAACATATTTTGAATGAATGATGAATAACAAATGACGGAATAAATGAGATAGGGAATTTGACTACATGATCTGAAATTACATATAATTAATTATTACTATTCTACGACACAATACCTCAAGGGGGGTCGCCTCCCCCATTTCCCACCAATTTAGAGACCCATATTGTCCGTTGGAAGCAAGACAGGGACTTCCTTTGGTCACTTCACTCACCTGCTCCTGCGCATGCGCGAGCGCTCCTGGACTGGAGATAGCTAACTAAACGGGACATTTGAATGGTCGTGGTGACTAAGCTCCACAGTAACATTTTCAACTGTTTTTTGTTACCATTAAACAGGATACAGTACTTTATAATACGGCACTGCGCCACTCCAGTAGTCTGTGGTATTTTGACGGGTGTGGTGGGGCATTCCAGTTAAGACACATTATTGCGTAACAGTTTAATTCACTGTGTCTAGTAGACTGTATTTAGGAGCTTTGCGGTAACATAAACTTCATCATTGTCTTCCACAATAGCGACAAAACTCTGATCATCTACCGCAGCCGCTTAAGACATTATCATCTTCTCCCACAGCCATGGAAAAGTCATTGTCGTCATGCGCATCATCTCAATAACGTTTTCCGACCGCGTGATTTTTGCAGACATGTTTTGTATTGGTATTGGAATAGACTTTTGATGGTCAATTCTCGATACCAATACCAATGTTCAAGTGTCGGTAGTATCAAGAATCGACACATCCCTACTATATCAATATATTAGGTAATAAAACTATTTTTTTAGGTAATAAACTAAGTACTGTATTTTTATTAATGACATTCCAGTAATCCAGCATTTTCACTAATCCTGTAGTATTATGGTCCTTTATCTGCCGGATTACTGATAGTCTACTGTAATGGAATCAGCCACATAACAATGATAAAGTATTTATTATCTTGTCTTTCAGGTAGTTTTTATCAGACTACAGATAAAAATTAATAAGTTCAAACCTATGCTCTCCAAGCTGTTCAAACCATAGCCCTAGCCAGTCTTCTAGCAAAAATATCTTGTCTTCAAATTAGAAATAATTTGCCTTAGAACAATTTCACTGAGTTTTAAAAGCTTCTCAACAGTAGTTATCTTAATTAATGAAGTGTTTTTCAATAAATTATTCTTAAGTTTAGCAATTGTTTCATTTACTCGCACATTGGTGAATGAATTGACTTTGTCAAATGATATTTTTTAGATCATATTTACTCAGTTACTAATAAAAAAAATAAAAAATACCTAAACAAATTTTGAGGTCAATCAAAAACATGCCGTAAATAAAGAAATATATTTCGAGTCTTGTGATCAACAGGAATGAAATAAAATACAAAACGAAGAAAATACTCACATTACTTTACAAAGTTAACCTACGGACAATAAATAAGGCACTACGAGGCGAGGAACTAGATGCGAGGGCAAGAGTCTGCAATGGCTGCGATGCCGTAGAGTTTACCAGCTCCTCCGAGAGGGACAATCAGTGACTCGGCCGGTGCGGAGGTGTATGTGTAGGCACTCTCTACCTTCTGACTGTAACAAACAAGCTCTGTAAATCTTGATACTACTTTTGAAAGCACTAAAGCTCTCCTTTTTATGGCAACCATATATCATTAATGATTTAATGATTGATGATTGGTTTTGATTAATGATTAGTGAATTGACGAGGACAAAGTTATGAAACCCAATATATAATAGCCATTGCATCCGTCCTGGATATAAAAAAATATCTAAAAAAAAATTAAATCAAAAATTATTTAATGGTGAAGGAACTTAAATTGTTCAATATATATTTTAGTGAAATAAAAATAAAAATAATGATCTGAACAGTTCGTTAATGACTGCTCTGTGTTATTTCATGCTCCGGCTGCGTTTGTTTTGTATACTATTCTTGTGTTCTCATCTGAGGACAGGGTCAGCGTTCACATCCCGGAAAACCATATTAACTTGGTTTTTTCACTGATAGTGACAGAAAATGTTGCAGTGGAACTTTTAAATAATGTATAATTGATGTAGTTGTCAGCCCTATGTCTACCTGGCGATGATTTAAGGCCTGAGCCAGCCCCGGGTAGACGGAGGGTATGGAGATAGGTTCCATCATACAGACTATAATACTTACGTTTCCCAGTCAGTCCAATAATATTTATCAGCTGTGATTGCTAAACCAAAGGGATAGCTACAGTTGGCCACGACCGTCCTTCTGATGCCAGAATCTAGGTTGAGGCACTCTGAAATCAACACATAAATAATTTTATGTTGTTGTTAGCTATTTGAATCCAACCAATTTTGTATTTTCCCTCTTTATTTGTAGATTGTAGGTATTAAATACACGTGGTAAATAGGCTCCTCCTTCAACTGCAAACTATTGTGGTCCCGACTTTAAGTAGATTACCTTCTATTAGTTTCAGCAAATAGAGCTCCAATCTCACTCTTACAGGATCCCACATGATTTATTTTTATTTACATATAGTAATACTGCTTTAATATTTTGTAACAACAATGAGTTATTTTATATTTACTTCGTTTCTTTATAATATTGCCAAACGGTTATTTTATATTTAGTGTAGTTTGCAGCATACCTATCTTCTTAGTGCCTGCGTCAGTCCAGCACAGTTCGTGAGTTGCCCAGTCAATGGCGAGAGAGTTCGGTAGTTTGACGTCTCGTGTGACCAACGTCTCACGACCAGAACCGTCCAGATTTGCTGACTCTAACTTCGGGGACGCTCTGTTCCAATCTGACCAGTAGATTTTTCTGAAATGGCCAAAAATGACACTTGAAGGCTCATATGGTCACACTTAGTAGCACTAAGAGACATAATCACTAATGGATAACCTAATTTAGTATAGGACACCCGAACGTCAGCACACATAGTTAGTGATATCACACGTTATACCTTGAACAGAAAAATACATTTAAAGTTATTTCTTGTGATGGTTGAATTAAACACACTATCTGAAAATAACATGAAACTTCAACAAATTACGATACTCTTGGGTCCTCTTGAAGCACAATAGTCAGTCTGAGTTAATAAAAGAGAAAAACATGCACAAACAACATCATGTAGAAAACACTAAAAATATATATAAAAATAAGTAAAACAGTTTTATATCAAACATAACATGCAAGAATTGAATCCTGAAAAAACCCCTTAATTGATTTTTAACGATAGGTGATGTCATTTGTTTCTTCCCAAACATTTAAATTTTGAATCAATCTTGAATAAAAGTTTCATACTATAGAAATTAAACTATTCAACTATTTTCCACAGAGCTTGTAATTAATAAAATCGTACAGTTTTAAAATGTTTCCAAATGACCATGCATTTTGCTCTAAACATGTGTGATATTAAAAATCTAATATTATTTTTGTTAAAAATTGATAAGAACTTAAATCTGATTTGATAAGACTTAAACAATTTTATAAAATACTAGCTGACCCGGCGAACTTCGTATCGCCTAAGTTATAGGTTTCCCCTAAGACAGACCGATGGAAAGAAAGTACCGTTACGTTTAATTTTCAAGATGATCTCGTTCGCATCGCTCAATCACGTCCTGGTTGAAGTTCGTTCGCTACGCTCACTCACCTTTGGGTTGGAGCTCGTTCGCTACGCTCACTCACCTTTAGGTTGGAGCTCGTTCGCTGCGCTCACTTGCCTTCAGGTTAGCTCGTTCGCTACGCTAACTCGCCTCCAGGTTGAAGTTCGTTCGCTACGCTCACTCACCTTTTGGTTGCAAATTAGCTGTTGTCATAAATGTAAAAGAAATAATAGTGCTGCACCCTGTTGGTAATCCTTGTAACTTTAATGCTATTGAACATCATAGAACAGAACCAACTTGTTTAATTGAAACAGCTGTTAAGATTCATTAATTCCATTTCTCATAAGGTTAACATGGGAAACTCCAGAGCCACTGGGGCGGGGAGCCCTTTTAAGAATTTCGAAACGGGAAATAGTTTACGTCCGATTCGCATACCTACAGAATTTACACACCAAATTTCATAACGATCGGTGAAGTCGTTCCGGAGGAGTTTGCAGACAAACACTGTGACACGAGAATTTTATATATTAGAAGATTGAATCAATGACAGATACACACCAGGGTGTCTATCTTAAGTGATGACAAACTTTGTAATCAACTAAGACTGGCTGATTCTTTAGACAAGTTCGCATGAGAAAATCACTTCACAGCTTCCTCAAGGTTGTACACTGATAATGAACCAAGAGTACATTACCTGTAAATAGGATGCACAGCAATACCGCGAGGGTTGACAAGGCCGGATGAAATAAGGGTTTGAACCTCCCCTGTGTTGAGATCAGCTGACTTGATGACGTCTTTGCCAGAGTCAGTCCAATAGAGTCGTCTGCTGATCCAGTCAATAGCAAGCCCCTCTGGCGAACTTATTTCTGCAATGAAATTAGTCAAATTACTAAATAACCCTTGTGTTAAAAGGTAATGAGAAAACATAAAATTCACAAGTCACATTGTTTTCATGCACAACATAGTCACAGAACATATCTATGACAAGCTTACATTAGTGTAACCAGATGGTTATGGTTAAGTAAGTCATCTTACAGTTTTAACCCTCCAGCCGTGACTGATAAACACAAGATGATTTTTGAGTGCTTAGAATGTCATGGTTTCAGTTATGATTATTAACTTAAAATCAACAGAACCTCTCCTCCCATCTACACTTTCCTTTAAAAGTTTCTGTTTCATATTTAGTTTTTTAAAGGGAAAATGCAACTTGGCTTTGGAATAATTAAGGAGAAGAAGGAAGGATACACAAATAACTCGCCTGAATAAAAGAGTCCCAGGAGGTCAATAGAACACATAGAAAGTACACATTAAACTGGTATTTTGCTTCTGAAAGGGGACTATCGGGACTCTTTATTCAGGTGAGTTAGTTGTGTATCTTTCCTGTACAAGTGTAAATTTAACACATTTTTCAATCTGATACAGTCAAACTATTAGTTAAAACTTTTGGACTTGCCTTCAGTGACAAAGTTGGTGATATCTTTGCCGTTAAGAGAGGAATGCTTGATGACTTGTCCGTTAATGTCGCTCCAATACACCAAACCTTCGACACAATCCACTGCAATACCTGTAAAATTCAAACATAGTAACACACAGTTATTCGGATACATCGTAGTTCGTGGTAATGTTTGCATGAGTTTTGTAGGAACTTATTACCACAGTTCTGTTAAAAACAGAAAATAAACTTATAAGACTTAGAACTGATGAAAAAAACACTTGTGGCGGATCCAAGGGGGGCTATAGGGGCGAAACCGCTTCCCCTTTGGACTTTGAGAACGTAAAATTAAACACACATTTCGTCATTGAAATGTAATAGAGGTTTTTGGACACAGTTGTGGACCTTAAAAATAGATTTTAAAACTTACCAAACGACTTTGGAAAACCCTCTCCTAGTAGGGGACACCCCCTTGGCAAGATCCTAGAACCACCACTATTTAATACCAGGTTTAACGTACAATCCGAATCCACCACAATAGATGTATAAACCAACAACATGTTCTCTGAATAAAACTGTATGCCAACGTAAATCACAGCTTATTGTTGTATTTCATATGTCTGGATTCATAAACACTAACCTATTGCGACTTGATCATACTGAAGCTGTATTGGTTTGCCAGGGTTGGTGACGCTTGGTTGCTGGGGAATTTTGACAGTTGCCATTCCCTTGTTCACCAGAAGAAACCCGCCTTCCATTGGCCGCACTTCTGCAATCAATATTGTTCACATATTAGGGTTACCGGTAGTTATCGAGTTCAAAAATTAGGTTTACAGAATATAATCGAACATGATGTACAGCACTATTTATATTTTTAAACTGACATAAAAAATGAAAATGTTGGCTTACTTGAATGTGAAAAATACTTTTTGACCGGCTTTCTGAAGTCCTAACCAATAAAATATCAGTGGTGTTTGTTTAAAAAAAAAATCATTCATCTTGGCACAGGGAAATAACTGTGCAAAATACACAGAATATTGTACTTAATTTCACTGCCACTGTAGACCAGTTTCTCTGACAAATTAGAACTTTCCTTGATTGAACATTTTGTCAGTGATTAAACAATGTCTACTTTTTGTCTACAATAATTGTGTTTTTTGCGCCATGATAGACACTTTCCATCCAAGCCTGCTACCTTATCAAAAATCCCAACCTAGACCCTCAAGATTGTTACCTCATTGATAATGAAAGCAGATAACAAAAGATATCAGTTATGAAATTAAAAACATGTAACCTTTGCAAGTCTGTCCGTTGCCGACGTAGCCGGGTTGACATTGGCACTCGAAGCCTGTTGTACCAGAGACACAACGAGCGTTGACATCACACAGGGACGGATTGTTGATACAAGTATTGACGCGAATACACTCGTGTCCACTGCCTTCGTAGCCCTGGACAAGAGACAGGTCACTGACTAAATGTTTGAAACTGTCACAGAGAAACAGTGTTTATACAATGCTCTTTTCAATATGCAATAAAAAAAAAGACTAGCAAAGCAAGTCTTGTATATTCAGCTAATCAAGAATCTACTGTACTTTTACAACAGGTCAAATTCAAGATGACAAACCAGTTTGCATTGACAGCGATATCCGTTGTCCGGAGCAAAGTACACACACTCGGCCTCGGGAGCACAGTTGTTGATGATGTTACATCCGATTGGCTGCGGACTGCACTGGTCCACTCCATCTCCCGTCAGGCCCGACCTGCACACACGAGGAGTATTAAACAAAATAGATCACACACAATCTCTTAGCGCAAAAATATGCTGTATATGTGATTTTTCATCCTACTAAAATAACTGACTAACCCGAATCAGTAATAAATTGCAAACAAATCCAAAACTATGGTACCTTGGTAGTTTTTAAAATATTTTTTCTCTGTCTCACCTTTACATCCTAGGACACGAGCTTCTAGCCCTCTGTTTTTACACATTACAGGCTTGCCCTAGAGGGTTGCGGCATTATCATCACACGATACAATAATTGTGGACCCCAGGATCTCAGGATCTGAAACCCCACACTTAACCACTAGACCAGCTCCCTTCCCGTCGTACCTAAGCCTTGTATGTCATTTATTAAACAATATTTAAAATATTTATGTATATTTAAAGCCCATCAAAATTTGTTGAAGGATTGAGCATACCCTGGTCTTGTTCTTGCAAACTACCATAATTATATTGATAGCTCAATAATAGCTAATGGCACCTAGGTCCAACGATTCCATTCGGTATCAAATTAGGGAACTTTTGGATTTCATGGCAAGCTCAGTAACTACAAGGCTAGTACTTAGTCAGTTGGTTTTTTTTAAGTAATTAAGATAGTCAATTGACAGTTTCAAACAGGAATAGTTTTTCCTAACAATATAATAAACTTAATTAACAATCCCAATATTTTTTAATTCTATTTTTTTAAACCGAGTTCATAAAATTCACAGGCAAAAACTAAAATATTTCGTCGACATAATTTTAGTACACAGACGTCACATAATAAAATTCCTATACTGTTCTGGCAAAATAAGCTTTAAATTTTTCAAATCCTAACTACATCCAGTATCATGAAAATATGATTAAGCTAAATATAAAATAAATAATATATAACCTATTTAACATAGTTTCTCTGTAACTTGCAAATAATTAACTCTAAGAGTTGGTACCACTGAGGAGGCAGGACTACATTGCCTTGACCTTGACCTAGGGGAAGTCCAGGCACAGGTGATTCAACAAGGAAAAGTCAGACACAAACTCAACTCAGTTTAGTCAGTACTTTCCTTCATCGGCGCATCAGAGCGTGGGAATAAGAGTGGATTTTGGTCAGTAAATAAATTACATGTAAAATTAAAAAATAAAATAAACAATTCTTTTACATTTATTAGCTCTTACCTAGAGGTTATTAAAAATATCATTGTCCATTGACTTTGTACTATGTATTAATTTTTGGATAAACAAGAACTAAAACTGTCACAACAATTTAATTAAGTAGAAAATAACATTTTTTAGCAGTTTTGGAAATTAAAGATTGGTTATTGATTTTGCGTTTTAAAACTGATTTTAAAAAAATTAATTTAAACACAGTGCAAGGTTTGTAATTATTCACGGTTTCTTCCAGTTTATTTATACTTACAATTTACATTGGTACTCAAACTGTTTTGGCAGTTTTTATGATTAATTTGTGTTATTAAATATTATCATGGTATAGAACACAGAGTGAAACTTAACCATAATAGTAATACATCTTCATGTTTTTTTTTTTGTGTTTGTAAGTTAAATACAAACAGTAAAGTATAAATTTAATTATCTACAACTTTCCTAAAGATAAATCTTCTCTGACCGACAAAAAGATTTTGTAGCCAACTAAATTTTTTAAGTTACAGTACTTTTCAAGTTTTTCTCCAATATGTTAATTAGTTATTTTAAAAATATTTATAAACCTACCTACCAACCATATATTAATTTTTAAAACCAAACCATAAATATGGTATTAAGTGTTTTAGCGAATTTCCCTATAGGGAAGTTGCTATTTTATTTCCTAGCACTGTTGCAAATTTCAAAATTTAATCTTAATTGTAAGTGTGTCAAAATGTAATACATTTATATTGTACACACTACTAATTTGTACCGATTCCAAGGTGTTGCATTGTTTCTATAGCCAACCAAGATGGCAATTTTTACGACAGCACCTGTATTGCTCCTTTAAATGACCTTCCTACAGTATTGTTATTCTGGGTTTGCTGTATACGGATGGCAGAAAAATCTTTCTTTTATTTAAAACTAGCTGTTGTACCCATGCTTTGCAACGGGAAGAGGACACAAAATAAAATCATTTTAATCTTTATCTCTTGCATATAATAGTTACACATCCGCCAACGCTTTTAGAAGCAAAATTTAACTTTTATGGCCTTAATAGAAGAAACGTTTAAGTTATGTCTTTTAAATCTGGTAAGTAGTGGATACCACCATTTTGGTTTTGATTAATTTTAAATCTCGTGTAGGCTGATATGAGAAAAACTGACCAAATCTTCGAGTAAAACTTTGACATACATAATTTGCCAGATTTACCTTCATCTCCCTTAGTTACACATTTTTAAATTTATTATTGACATTTTAAATTTCAATTTTGAAGTTGCAAAAATACTAATTATTAAATTTAAATATCTTTATATTAAACTCTTCTTTATTTTAAATCACAAATCCTTTCATCTTCGGTTTTTTCACTCACAATAAATCATTAGCAAAACTAAGTCAGCTGTTATAAACTTTAGAAATATTGCTGTGCCTTATCAATACAGTCTTTTGAAATATTAAAGAAACTATATCTATAGGTACTATAAAAAATAATTTCAAACAAATAATTTATAATTAAAGACAGCAGACAAAACTAATATGATTATCAAAGCATCAAGGAGTAAAAAATTTAATAGCAAATACAGTATATGTTCCATTGCATCTCTGATTCTACTATACAAAAATATCAACAAACAACTTAATATACAAACAAGTTCTTTTAATCAGTTCCATCGTCCATTGCCTTTACATTTTCACACTTACCATTAAGAAAACATAGTAACAGATATTTCATTGATTTTAGAAACAAAAGAACACTGTGTACTGCTTAGTTTTATGATATTTTCCTCGGTTTATTTTAATCAGTGGTGTGGCAAAACACAAATAATAAATAATCAGTGGTGTGGCAAAATAAATTAATTTAGTTTTATTAATTAAAGCGTAGGTTTAGCAAAACACAAAACTTAATTTACCTAAATATACATATAAAAAACAATGTGATGTGCAAATTATAGTTAATCTAACACATGTGAAGCAGTTTCAATTTATTTAAAGTAGCCTCCAAAATCATACAAAACATCTATACATTGTAATTTTCATACTGTTTCCATGAAAACATCAATAACATTATTTTCACTTAAGATTATTAACTTAAGACGCTTTAAAAAATCCAAAGCAGAGCCGGAGTTGATACAGCAACGGCTATAAAATCTTTTTTTTCTATAGTCATTGACATAGTTTTAGAATAAATAATCCATGATAAAAGGTTAGATTAAAATAAACCTACCTCATATTTATGGAAATTCTTTGTATCATCTGTCTGAAATTGTGAAATATGCAGTTTAGCAGTTCTTCTTGTTTACATTTAAATGTTAAAGCAAATGTAAACAAACATTGTTAGTGTTCTCATCACAGCCATGGAGACCAATCAATATTTACTTTTAAAATGTTCACCTCAGAACTTTTAAAGCCAAAGGGGCAAAGCCTACGGTTAGTATCGAAATGTGAATAGTCCTATAATAATCCTTGGTATGGTAACTATATTTTTGTAAAATTTTAGCCCAGTTGGTTCAGTAGTTTTTGCACCTATTAGTAATACACATACAGAGAGACACCATTAGATTTTTATATAATAGTATAGATAAGTGTTCAAATCTTAAATTTTGCCCCACCCAAATCTTGTTATGTATATTAGATACAGTTTCATACGTCTATTTTATATTACCTGCACCTCTAGGATAAACATTTGAGAGAATGTAACAATTTTCATACCTTTTACAGGACGTGGAGGAGGTAATAAATTTGTCAGAAAAGATGTCATCTTACGATATAATTTTAAGTGAAGACACTGTGCGAATGGTGCTCCAGTACAAAACCGACTTACAAACCAACACGAAAGAAGCAGGCAATTATTTGAAAAGTCAACTAAGCTCATTACCAAACAAAGAACTTTCTTTGGGTGAAGAAACGAGTGGACGGTTTTTGCAAATGTTGATGTCAACAAAGGAATACAGATGCAATTCAGACACCAGTGTCCGAGGAGACGGCTCCGACTGGAACGAGACAGAGTTCAAAATTCTCGGTGAAATATCTATTGCGATGAAGGTTCAAGTTTTCGACAACGGGGTGTGGAAAATCAACGACAACGCATTTAAAGTACACGACCCACCAATGACAGCCCACCTTCTATATACCCAGGGCCCTCTCTTGATCGGCAAACGGTTCGAAGGGACGACTCCTGATTTTGAAGCGATCTCTAAAGATGGCAAAATAAATCAAGAAAATTACAATGACCTAATGAAAAAAAGGTTACTCCCGATTTTCATTTACGCGGAGGAAACGGCAAAAAAGGAGAATAAAAAGGCGTTAATCGTAATACCAGGTTTGGGCTGTGGAGTTTATGCCAAAGAATACAAAGGACAAATGGGAGAGTACTTGCAAAATGCTTTACGATCCGTTATCAAAGATCTTCCTCCTTGCGAACATATTGCTTGTGTCAGATACGATCCATACAACGAATGTGAAGATTGCGAAGAGATCATCAACTCTGTGACGTTTCGCTTGAGGAAATACACCGGATCCCAAGGAAGGCCACAGCTGTCTCGAGTTGAAGACTTTGAAGAGACGAAGGGTGAATTTGAAAACTGTGTCTTATACAAGGTTGTAGCTTGCGACCACGTTTCTTTTCCGGGAAACAACTATTTCTTGGGTGTCCGTAAATCAGATGATGGAGTAACAGCTGCTGCTACCAACACCATGGAAGTTCTGACGGGAAAGAAAGGTCGGTACTCCCAGGGACACTACTTGGCACCCGAAGGGAACCGGAAGTGGCTCACTGTAGCCTTTCACAACGAGACTAAACTAGTCGTGGACGGAAACATCAAGGTGGTTACAGAGAGTGGAAAATTGATGGATCTGAGATTGTTAAGTAAGTATATATATTGAAGACGGAAAAGGAATTTAATGTATGTCTTTAACCTATTTTTTCTATTTGATTTAAATAATTTTATTTATTTAAATTACATTATCTTTACGTTTGTAACCATTTTATTGGTAACCCTACACTTATGGGCATAATTAACAAGGGTATAAAAATTATGGGCATAATTAACAAGGGTATAAAAATTATGGGCATAATTAACAAGGGTATAAAAATTAAGAAATATTTTATAAGTCCCCCAATTCATACAAATTAAGAGGTTAGGTTACTGGTAAAAGTATAACTGCAAGTTTAATGCCATGGAAAAATTTACTTTACTATGCAGGTTTTAATAAAAATGTATCCTTAATAATTAGTTGATAGTATATCATACCATTGTAATCCCCATATTACAAATAAAATAGTGTTGGGAAAACACCTAAAGTAAAATGTCAGTATTTCTGGGTAGCATCAAACCACAAAGTTTTAGAAGCCTCTAACACATAAAATCTGGCTATATAGGGCGGCCGCTTAGAAAGCGTCCTCCTCGTAGCATTGGTGCGAGAGAGAGATACCAAGCTGTGGGATTGAGACAGACTATGGCTCTTCCCCCACTCCGCTGCCTCCCCACCCCCAATTTTTTATAAATATTAACAGCAATTAAATTATTCTTCATAACTTGATAAAAATAGGTCCTGCAAAAAATATTGTATAGCCTAAATCGCATCAATATTTGAGCATCACAAAATGTTATTATATCATTGTGTAAGCTACTTTGTTTTGTAGTTTTTACTAGAGAACGTTTAAGTTTTTGTGACATTTAAACACAATTAAAAACATAATAAAATTGTATGAATTCTATTTGAAGAAGCATACCTCTCGGCCAAAATGTAAGCAAACCAGGAAGGATACAATTCTGAGGCCTGAATCCATACACATCCTACTACTCCTCTTTAACCATTTATATGTTATTTCAAATTGAAATTAGGCCTAATAATTTTGATCCCAACTCGATAAATAATGCTACAAAAAGCACATTAAACATAGCCTCACCAAAGGCTATATTTATTCATATCAAACAACACACATAATTTTTAATAACTAATAACACTAATCACCAAAGGGGGACAGGACAGAAGGGGAATGAAAATGTAAATTAGGTTCAGTAAATAGGTTCGACAAAGAGTTAGTAGTTTACGTAAAACTCAATGCTTATTTTTGGCAAAACGAGTGTTTATCATGTAAAGAATAATGGAAAATCCCCAAAAACTGGGGAATCAGGATAAAAATGTTTGATAAAAAGAAATGGCGTCTTTGTGGACTATGGGTTTGCCTTCAAAATTAATCCAAAGAAATAGTAGGAAAACCGTTTGAAAATATATTTTTTGATAATATTTGAAAGTAAAACTTACTTGCAGACACACTGAGGTAGTCCAGTTACAGGGTTCACAATACATTCTGCTTCTTCGTGGCATTCAGCACAACCTACACAATAACACACACTGGTCAATGTCATCGCTTTAACCATTGTAATTCTATAATGGAATTTGAACAAAACAATATGTAAACACTCAGTAGTAGTAGTGATAAAGTATAGTGATAATTCTTTTACCAATCCAAATCTGTGTAAAAATATTTTTGCCTTAAAAATATTGCTAATACTGGTGTTCTTGTTCTACTGAGTCAATGGGGGAAAATACTTAAGGAGAAGAAAGACAATGCTATTCTAGGTATGTTTTAAGGTAATCAAACTCATCCTTATATATAATTCTGTAAGACAAAATTTTACCAGAAAATTGTGGACGTCTGGTAGGTCGCAGAAAAGTGGGAGGGGTCTTAAATTAAAGGTCTTGACCCCAAGGACTCGGGAAAAATAGCAGAATTCCCATAAAGTTACCAGAAAACGAGATATAACGTAAAATGTTCTCCATAAGAAAAGCATTAGAAGCCATTTACTGCTGATTTTTGTTTACTTCAATACAGCTGATCGTGATTTATCATCAAGCCAGTATAAGCAATGATAACATTAATTTGGATGACTTATTTGCCAGCCAATTCTGCAATGTACTATATAAAACCAGGGATAACGTTACCTGTAAGAATTAAGACTTTTTAGTTACGTTATGGAATGGGGAAATAAATAATTTTACTGTTAATCTTTTCAAATTTGTGTATTTTTAACGTTTAACATTAAATAACCACATTGGCTAAATAATTAACGATTCAAGATTAAATGAAACACTTCTGCTTTGTTTTTTATTTCAAAACATATGTTCTAGATTTATAATACACTTTCTTCCTTTTAAATTTGAGATATATTGTAGTGTTTAATCAATACTTTGTATGAAGTAGGCTTTAGAAAATAACCTGGAAATAAAGATGGAATAGGTTCGTACAGGAAATATATATTTGTTAATTAAGTAAGTACTATGACAAGTTCAAATGGGAGGAAAAACAATATGCTTGGAGATTTTAAACAGGTACTGTCTGTTGCTCGCAAAAGAGTTAAGAATCAGCCAATGATTAGGCCTAATTTGATAGAATATGTAACGTCATTCGCACCTTTAAGAGGAATACCAACACATAAACTTTCACTAATTGTAGTTTTTTTATGTTGATCAGAAGAAATCTAGGGTTATAAATTTGGTCAATGGGATGCCTTTACTTTACACTGATAAACCTTAACAATAAGAAGTATAAACTTAGAATTATAAACATGTTTATTATTAAACACCTTTATTTGCCTTTTCTTATTTGACGAAGACAATTTCCAAAGTTCCAATCAGGGAGGTCTTTTTTATCACAATCAACCACAAGACCAAAGCTACCTTAATAAACCATCAGTATTTATTCACAAACAATTATATGTTTGCTGCCTTTATCAGAGTTAAAAGCTATGTAGTTATTCAAAAGATTTATTGAAAATAACATCATCAAAGGCAAACAAAGACAAACAACAAACTGTTTTTTACACAAAAGATATGGCGTACAGGGATATCTATTCTGACACAGCGATAATATATTTCTTAGTTTGTTTAAATATTGGAATAATTTGTTTTATATTATTGAGCTTTTTAGGGACTTATGTCCCTACAAGCCACTAGTTTAACAAATAAAAGTATGAACAATATACAGCATGAACAATTCACAATTCAGCATTCATTCACAATTGAGCTTATTTGCAAAATGGTGATTTTATGATACTTGATAGCATACTAAAAACGGTGTTATTTACATCGGCACATTCTAAGTTAACTTAGAGTAGGTATACAGTTTGTATAAACTGCTGTAAAATTATTTTCTATAAGCAAAGTTCATATTAATGTATCCATATGAATAGGGTCTGAACAAAGCAAAGTTTGTATTATTTGGGTCCAGATGAATAAGGGTATATGGGTAATTTCTTTTGGAGATTTGAAAACAAAAGAAAACTCACTTAAAATTTTAAATTTTAAGCTAAGCCTTTAAAATTGAAGTGCCGAGTTGAATGTTCACTCAAGATCCAGTACTAACTCAGGAAGGGTTTTTAAATAGGAAATTATTTTCAGTTTCACTTCACCGACCAAAATTTTATGAATCTAAGATATAAAAGGCAAAGCCCTCACTGACTCACTCACTCATCACTAATTCTCCCACTTCCCATTTACCTAGGAGGGTGAAATTCGGTACGCCGATTCTTTGGGCATTAAATAGGAAAACTAAGTAGTTTTTAATCTGATCGGGCTTTCGGGCTCCTCCTAGTGGCTCTGGAGTTTCCCATGTTAACCTTATGATCTTTCATATTTAAAAGGAATTAATGAAGCTTAACAGCTGTTTCAATTAAACAAGTTGGTTCTGTTCTATGATGTTCAATAGCATTAAAGTTACAAGGGTTACTAACAGGGTGCAGCACTATTATTTTTTTTAATTGATGACAACAGCTAATTTGCAACCAAAAGGTGAGTGAGCGTAGCGAACAAATTTCAACCTGGAGGCGAGTTAGCGCAGCGAACGAGCTAACCTAAAGGCAAGTGAGCACAGCGAACGAGCTCCAACCTAAAGGTGAGTGAGCGTAGCGAACGAACTTCAACCAGGACGTGATTGAGCCATGCGAATACTTATGAAGTTAAACGGGGCAAAGCCCGCGGGTACAGCTAGTATTATATGAATTTATGTTCTGAATATATTGTTACCTTGCCTGATGCAGATCTTATAGTCGAGAACGTAGCCAGGATCACATTCACACTCTTTCCGTTGGGTGTCTTCTGACCACACACACGTAGCGTGATCACCACATTCTATATCTTCACTGCAAATGTCTGTAACATGAGAACGAAATCAACAAAGCATTTCCTGCCATTACTAAATAATCTTAGCTCAGAAAATAGTCAAATATATACATTACATCCTCATCTTGGAGAATCGGCTGATTTTGATACTGATCGGCTGTTCTTTAAAAATAACAAATTAATCGGTAATCATGAGATATAATGTAAATCAAGCAAACTGCGATATTATCATAGAGTCTAGATGATTGAGATTTTTGCAGAAGCAACTTTACATCTTTGAAAACAAATAGAGCACCTTTCTTACAGGCTGCTCTTTGGACATTTTTGTGTTAGGACCATATAGTGACTTTACTTCTTGTGATTTTAACTGTGATTGGCCTAGTGTTTATTACAATGTGTCTCCGCTCTTCAACTGTATTTTAATTTCAACCATCGAAGAGTCATACCGCTTTTGTAGCAGTTGGTGCCGTCGCCCTGGTACCCCTCATCACACACACAGATGGCCTGGTCTGTCCCTTCTATCTCTTCACAGCTGGCGTACAGGTGGCAAATGTCCGCCTCACGGCACGACAGTTCTGTCACAGAACAAACATAATTAGCATCGAACATACACTACATTTGTCATAAAATCTGTAAGGCAATACTTAATAGCTTTGACTTCATAGTTTTTTTTGTCTTAGGACACTAGGCACGAGCCCGGGATTGTTTTTCACATTACTTCAGGCTAGACCTAGGGGTTGCGACATTATCACTTAGATAAAGATTTGGCGGGATTTCAACCCAGGACCTCACGGACCGAAGTCCCGCTCTAACCACTACACCAGCTCGCTCCCCTTTGACTTCATCGTAAGAAGACATCCCCATCTAAATGAACTAGGTGATTTTGTTGTTTACATAGAACATCGTTGAATGTGCTTCTTATAGAGTGAAATAGTTTGCTTGGATTACCTTTCCTCCCTTAGTTTGTAATACTACGACAAATGGATGAGAACTTAATTGCATTTAGATGCGCCATTTGTCCAGAAGGGTTTTCATGTAGTCACCAACACAATATATTATTTTTTCATTTTTCAAAGCTAACCTAACTTAATAAAAAATTACCGATTTCCGAGCACTCATAGCCATCCCCCTCGTAACCAGCGTTGCACTGACATTGGTACGAGCCTTCCGACGTGATGTAGATACATTGCGCCTGCGGATGACAGTTGTTGATGGTGTTACATGACACTGAAACAGAAAATGAACATCAACTCTCATCTGCTGCATAACGAGTTAGGAGGGGAAACATGATACGGAACCAGAAACACAGTGAATAATGTGGAGTGACGTGGACAGAGTTATCAAACTGTAGGCTGGAAGTTTCATCTAAAATGAATTCAGAGTCACGCAAAAGAACCATTTGAAGACTGAAAAATAAAAATGACTGAAATGTGAAATTTAGAATATAAACTAATATGTAATGTATGTAAGAAATAAACTTAACAAAGAGACAACACATTTCCTATATTTTTAACCTATTAATTCTCTTTTAGGTCTGGTAAAATTTCAAATTCAGATAGGTTTAAAAAAAAAAATAGATTAAATTTGTTATGTTTAAAGTATTTTCATACAAGGATTATTCTGTGAAAGAAAAGAGGTTTGAAATCAAACTGTATACTGTATTGAAGGTAAAGTTATGTGAACTTTACTGTTCTAAGAAGATAACATTAAATGAAGTGGAACTGGTAGAAGGTGTCAATGAACCAGCAAACTGATGTTGACTGTGGTCACATGGCTCAAAGTCAAGCTAATAACTCCATGAAGAGAAGAAAAGCGGAATGATAGTAAGGAATGACCAGTTTTTTTTTCAGCAATACAAGTTTGCATGCAGTAAGAAAACCCCACACAAACTAAATTAAAAGTCTCTGCAATAATATAAACACAAACAAACAACAACACAAACAAAATAGTAATGTTAGACAAGATTATTAACCTTTCTACAAAAGAATTGTAACAAAACAAAATGACAAGATACAAAGATCCACATTAAACGCAATCAATAAATGTAGACATGCATACATTGATATCCGGAATGACCCTTGGTATAGGGAGTCTGAAGACTGGCTCCAGTCTCTGGCATGCAGACAGCTTGAGTCAAAACGTAGCCCTTGGGGCAAAAACATTGGGAAGAGAAACATTCAGGTTCTGGATGTTGGGAATAATCTGCAACATGCAATGTTTTATGTACTTCTTTCCATGAAAATATAGCTTGTTTCATTACTAGGATACTTTTGACTTGAGCTCATGTTAAAAAACCTGAGTTAAAGTGACTCTTCACTACACTTGTACATTTATGAATGAAGGAGATTTTGATTTGATGAAATTTGATGTTTTCATTTACTACGTTAGATTTATGATTGTTTGAACATATTCTAAACAATTACTCATTAATGTTTAAATTTAAAAACCAGCGTTGATAGAAAATATGTGACAAGAATAACCATCCAACAATCCCACATGCCAAATACTCAATCCACCTTACAGAGTCTATGCGCAAGAGTTAAAAATACTATACCATCATAGACGGGTACAGACGGCCTCGTTGTGGTAGCACTGCTCTCCCTAACACAGGATTGGCCGTTGTCAACGTAGCCAGAGGGGCAATAACACAATCCCAGCAGACAGTGCTTCTCTACAGTCCCGTCAGACGCAGTACAGTCCCTGCCATCACCCTGGTAGCCTGGCAGACAGGTGCACTGGACTGTACCTGAGTACGTTCTGTTGCAGTAGGCATGCGGAGAACACATCAGGCAGTCGTCTGTGATCAAAGAGGAAATTGGTAACTGAACGGCATTAGTTTTTGAGTAAAGATATAATGCTCTTTCCTCAAAAAATGAATGCCGCTCGTTTTGTAACTGCAATTATATTAGTTCCTTCTGAAGAAGCTCCTTTTTTAAGTCAAAATATCAATTTTAATATACTGTGAAATTGTTGTGTTACATCAATTGTCTGGAACTCAAAATAACACAAAAGAGCCTGAGACGTTTTTATCAACTTACTAGCAGAGTACCCGTCCTTCGTACGGGGTTGGCATATAAGTATCAAATGCTTATAGCAGTTATGAGTGAGGACATGGTTTAAGAAATTTCGGTTCTTTTTGAAGTTCGTTCGCTACGCTCACTCACCTTTAGGTTGGAGCTCGTTCGCTGCGCTCACTTTCCTTCAGGTTAGCTCGTTCGCTACGCTCACTTGCCTTCAGGTTAGCTCGTTCGCTACGCTCACTCGCCTCCAGGTTGGAGTTCGTTCGCTACGCTCACTCACCTTTTGCTGTTGTCATAAATGTAAAAGAAATAATAGTGCTGCATGGCCCCCACATTTAATTGTGGGCCCTGTTACCAGGATCTGGCTCGGGCCCCCCTACCAACCGGGGGGTCGGGGGGGTATGGAATACTCCCCAGCGTAGAGGGGGGGTCCGGGGGCCCCCCCCCCGGGAAAATGTTGAAAATGTCATGTATTTTAGTGAGTTTTTAAGGCAATCTAGGTATTAAATTTGTGAGTGGTAAATGGCACTTTTGCAGCCTTTTTTAAGGAAGAAAAGAGTTCTTCAATGAGTTTTATAAGACTTAAAATTACAGGAATTCAGCAATTAAAACTATTATATCAATACACAAAAGCTCCATGCCTATTAATATTTTGTCCTTTTTATTTCCCTGTAAGAGGGTTTGGCTATCTTAACTGCTATAATTGTACTTTGTAATATGGAGTAGGAAAAAACTTACGTAAATTGAGTTTAACAGCTTACACCAATGAAATCATATTTTATTCAGTGACAATTTTCATCAAGAATTTTAACAATACTACATTTTTTGGGAGTGGATGCCTGAGCTGCCGAACTTGCGCCGAGTAGTCACGGAGAAAAACAAATGTGCACGAGTAATGCCGAGAATGACCGATGCTATCCAATCCATGCTTTAGTATACAGTATTATACCGAGCAAATTGGGAAGAAAACTTAGGTCAAAATTATTAGGCCTACAATCTTTCATATTTTTAAAACTCCAAAAGTAAAGAATTTTTAAGTTTGTGTCAAATAACCTAGATTGCAATAATTATTAATTGAAATATTCCATACATAAAAGTGCAACCGGGACCAAATGTTGATAAAACAGGACAAATAAGCGTCCCGAGAGGATTTGTCGGGACGGACCAGTCCCCCTAAAACGGGACGTCTGGTCACCTTAGCTATGGTACATAGTACATGTCAATTTTTCAATGCTTTACAAATTTTATTTTAACTTATAACTATAAGGATTCATTCTTGAAACTATCAGTTCAATTATAAAACCAAACTTTGTTTATTATGGGGGGAATGAGGTAGGAGTGGCTAGGCGCCTGGCGGGAGGAAGGGGTAGAGGGAGTTTGTGGAGCCGGCCACTGGGGCCCGAGCTGGCTGTTCTGCTGTTGTATAGTACATACGCACCTACGCACCTATAGAATTTAAATATAAACTTCCTTAGAATCAAGAATTAATACATTTTAAATTATTTAACTTTGTTTTTTGTAAAATATTTAAATATTATTTTTTTATCTTCAATTTATGAGCTTTAAAGTGATCTTCAATGGGGAAAAAAATAAAAAACAAATGGGTAGGCCCGGGCCCCCTGAGGGCCCCGGCCCTGTGACTAGAGTTGCGCCAGCCCCACCCTTGTGGGGGCCATGAGTGCTAGTGCTGCACCCTGTTGGTAATCCTTGTAACTTTTAATGCTATTGAACATCATAGAACATAACCAACTTGTTTAATTGAAACAGCGGTTAAGATTCATTAATTCCATTTCTCATAAGGTTAACATGGGAAACTCCAGAGCCACTGGGGCGGAGCCCCGAAGGATTTTTTGGGATAAAAATATGCCTATATGTTAATCAGGAATGTGAGCTATCATCATGCCAAATTTCAGCCCGATCCGACCAGTAGTTTTTGAGATTAGCTCATACAAACACACACACAGACACCACCTCTTCTTTATAATAGTATAGATAGATTATAAATAAAACTCATATAGATAACAAGATTCAACAATATTTTGCCCGAGAACAACATCACAGTGTTATGTGTCAATATAAATATAAATATGTCAACAAACTTGGTTCTATGTTAAAAGGACAGCCTCACCCAACTACATCAACAAATTATAAAACTGGCATTTTAAAGTCTAGAAAAATGTCGTTCATATACTGCCTTTTTAATTTAACTTCTGACATTGGATTTTTAGCATTTCATTGAAGATAGCAAATCATACATTAGTTGGATCATCTAGATCGATCAGCCTGTATTGTACAAGTATTGACGTTAATTTCACAACATCATTGGATTCTTTGATTGAAGTTCACTGTTGGTTATGGTGAGATAATGCAATGGTGGTTATTATTTGCATGTTATTGTATCATGACTTGACTGCTATACAGTGAATATTTTTTGACTGCTACTCTCTGTAGTGTATTTCAACTTAGGTTGGGCGTTTGTGCATTGTTAGTTGTAATGTGTTAGTTAAGTTTTTTCATCTGAGTACAGGATCAGATTTCAGATCCCGAAACGTTGTGTATTGTTTTTTACCGTCGTGATGGAAAATGTCCGTAGTAAACCTTTGAAAACATCATTGGATTACCGAATGTCGAACTATCTGGTGTCCAATTAACAAAAGTCTATCACAAATTTGATTCAGACCGATGTTTCCATTGTTAATCAACTAGGCCTAGCTTGATTAGGTTTTGATGTTTGATCTACACATGCCTACAGACAACAGCTTACATTGCTACCTTCGGCATTAGGAGTACATGTGTAGCCGTCCCCCACAAACCCGGGAATACAGTGACAGCTGGGTCCCGTCTCTGGGTCTTCTATACACTCGGCTCCGGGGCTGCATCTGACACTGCTGCAGTCTTGCTGTATGGCTGCGGAAAATAGATCATTGTCAAATAGGTTTGGGATTTAATTTAGTTTGTTGAACGCCATTGGCAAATTTTTATGTTGTTTCGTTTTTTGTAAGGGAAAAATTCCAAACTCAGGTTTTATTACTATGTCAGCATTTTGTTAAGTAGCATCATTAATTCATGGCCCAATGACAAGTTTGCAACTAGGTATTGAATCAAACCCGGTTGGGGACAAACTAACAACCTTCAGAATTGAACATTTTAAACACAGTGTAGAAACCATTAAACTTGTCCCACTTCTATTTACAAAACAAATAATAATGGAGATCTATGTATAGCAGGAATTAAAGTACAGACAAAATTTTTCAACTGATTGGTTGTTATCGGTGACCCATCGGTGGTCGGTCACGGAAACTGAGACTCTATAGTCTGCCTGCGAGATAACTTACTTAGCTAGCCTTACTAACTTAACTTAACTTAATTAATTGACTTAACTTAATTTAGTTAGCCTTCTGCATAACTTACTTTTGACTTGCATAATATGTTTAATTTATATTTTCATGCGATCGTGATTAATCCACACCGTGATCGACTCGTGTAAAGTCAGGAGTCTTATGTTAATTATTACTAGAGGTCGTCCTGTGGTCGAAACTCGACCAAAAATAATTAATGTACAGACTTCTCTATTTTCTCCCCACACTGTAAATAAAACATGTGAATGGAATTTCTTCCCTTTGTTTTGATTTTCTGTTTACATTTTGTTGTTATTTCGTCACCATCATGGCAACCCATATGGTCCATGTTAATTTTTTGAAGTTTTCAAATTCGTTTTCTGTGCTTATTTGTTAGCCTATTTTAATTTATAAAGGCATTCTGCACATCTACAGAAAAATATCTTTCCAACAGTATGCGTAGATTTTCCCTGCGATGCACACGAGCTGAGAAAAAAGGTTTTAAAGAAACATGCTTGCCTATTAAAATATAGATAGATTATGCTACCGAAATGAGAATGCGATCTTGGTCTATCAATAGTGTCAAAGCTCATAGGCTACCAAATAATGGTAAAGGTGTTAAATACAGTAAATTAAATAGTGTTAACATAGTAAGTGTCATATTATAATGTATGCCAAATCTACATTACCTTGGCAGGAGAATCCATTGCCAGAATATCCGGGTCGACACTGACAACTGAAGGAGCCGATCTCGTTGATACAGAGAGCGTTCTCATCACATGTGTGAGACCCGGACTGACACTCGTTGATGTCGACACAACCGTAGTCTCCCGTCGTCTCGTCTGTGTATAGTGTCTGGAAACTGACATGACAAAATCTACATTCCTGGCCTCATATAAACTTGTGTACAGGTTTAATATAGTTGGGTCAAAATTATTTGCAACACTAAATTTAATTGTTTTACTATTTACAGCTTATATTCTGGCAATATTTTCTGCGTTAAAAATATTTTCTTAGAACTGTTATAGATAGCATTGAGTAAGTTGGTTTTAAGTTGGACGAGTTATTTTTAATCGGGATCTCGATTGATTGCAATTAGTGTTAACTTGATTTTATATTGTTTACAAATTACGTATTTGCCATTATTTACCCGTTGTTGCAGACACAACGGAATGTTGAGATGCGTTGAGACGTGTCAGGGATACAATGGCTGTTGTTGACACAGCTGACTTGCCCAACAACACAGGGGTCGTCATTGTCTGGAAAACAAAACAAAAATGATTTTGGCGCAGAAATTTAAATTTTAGTGGTTAAGTTTTTTATAAACCTGTGATGCTTTAAATGTATTTGTAGTGTTTCGGATCGAGTCACTTTTTAATATTTAGGGCTAAAAAACATTTTTGAAACACTTAAAACTAATTTTGGTATCGTGTAACAAAGGGTCTCCTACCTTCTTTAGAGGATTTTTAGATGGAATATAATTAGAGTGAGGGAATGCATCAGCGTGTTGGTACCAAACAGTCATGGAGACACCTCTGTTTAAGGTCAGTCAGGAGTTTGACTATTGGTTATGTGTTTAAGTAATAATATCTGTGACAATCGTTTGAAACAAATTTAAAAAAGGCTGCGATTTGTCAAAACTCACCAGACAGAGAGGATATTTTGTTGGTGGCGGCAAATCTGAGTATGTTCTCTGTTTCTTCGTAACTGATGAAGTTGCGGGCAGCCTTAAGTCTAAGTGAGCCTTCAGGATAAGCGGACGGACAATGTTCGTCAAAGCTTATAGTCTGTTCCACAGACACTGGGAACTGGTCCTGGGAGTTGTCTGCGTAGATGACATATGTTGACTGGGACGTAACCTTACCTGCAAACGAGACTGGTTAGAGAAGGGGAAAATAAACACAATAAACCCTACTAAAGTAACAAAATTAGCAGGAACATTTGAATAAAAAAATTTTACTAGTCAAATATTTAACAGAAACCTAGAAAATAACCTTTGCCGAAGTACAAAAATGTTATGTAGCTTATATCTTAATGATACACTGACAATTTCTATGAAAGTATCACTGTAAAAGCTACAAAAAACTACCTAAAAATACAAGGCTTCTATCTTCTCATAGTAGCAGTGCCACTCAGCCTGTAGAAAAGTATCACTGAGAACATTTGGTAAAACCTGACATTTACAAATCAATACTTCCTGGATAGGCTCGGGCTTCCCACAGTCACTTATTGAAGGAATTGTCGTGGTTCTGGTGACAACTGTGTCAATGATTTGATCAAGTCAAGTCACTCAATCTGTGAGGAAGTCAAGCCACCCTGAGGACGACACTACATTGAGCACGAAACATCAGTGAAGTGTTTAGTTCACTTTGACACAGTCATCAACGGAAGACCATGAATCTTTAATAAATTCCCTCTTGTTTGAGAAAAAGTCTACAATATCAAAAGTTGGCAAAAATATAGTGGATGATATTCAAAACCACAAATTATGCGACAGTTGATAATATACAGTACAATACTTAATAGTAAACATCAACTCAAGAAAAACAGGCCTATTTTGCGATTTGCTTATAAATAACTTAGCTATAATTATGTGCAAGTGTGTATGAAACACGACAATAGGATCAAAGTCTGACGCTAATGGATTCTATAAAAGATAGTTTTCTCTGGTATAAGTAACACCAACGAAAAATATTTTGCTCTTACCTGCAGAAACTTTCCGGAACTGTGTTTGGGAGTCCGGGAGAGACAGTTTGTAGCCATGAGGAACGGACGGAACTGTTCCGAAGATCTTTCCCTCCATTCTCAGTTGGTCAAACACGTCCAAACCGAGGAACCGTTGCTCTACAGTGGCTCTGTACTGGCCGTTAGCGAAGGTCAAGACTGCCGTGTGGTTGAAAATACCTCCTGTAACCAGCCGAGAATTGGAACCTGTCTCTTGACCCTTAGTATACTTGGGACTGACCATAGCCCTAAGCCATTGGCCAGTCCCCAGGTAGCTGAAGACTCAGGAGACAGGTTTCATCATACAGAATAAAGCAGCTCAGTTAAGATGGTAAGCATTGTGACTTCTAGACAGACAGTTTTCATTATAAATATCTAAAAATTGTGTTAAGCTTTAATATGGACAACTTTAACTACTGACTAAGATTAAGCTGGTTGTTTGTTACGTCAGGACTACTCATTAAAAGTCCAACCTTCAAGTCGAGCTAGGTCCAGTTTTGAGCCATCAAAATACTACGGATTTCTTCATGAACTGGCAACGTACTGATTGCTAGGTGATCACTGTATCCACTCAGTTCAACCCAATCGTGCATCCAGAACAACAACCACAAATCAGTTACCTGTCAGTTTGTATCCGTTGGGTGCATCATTGATGGACTTGGCGAACAGCCAGCCTATGACATCTGCTGTAGACGTGACTAGCTGTGCGTCGGTGCCAATGGCCGGAGGTACTCTACTGAGTGCAGTGTAGCATCTGCCGTCAGCTGTCACAACGTAGGCCTGCACGTCCACCTCCTGGCCGGCCGCGGAGTTGAGACTCAGCGTCATCTTGCCGTTCACTCGCAGAGGGATCTCTGAAATAACATTTGACCAACCATAGTGGTGAATTTGAGGTGATTTATTCTTTGAAATCCTATTTATTAGTTTTGTTTGTGATGTGACCACATTAGGTTTTCCAAATCAGATTAAAAATTTCCTCTCACATCTTCTTTCAGTTTCCAGACGCAAGCTAACAAGGTTTCCTTATATATTAGTTCATGTATCCTCTCCCAGCGCTGTATATTACCGATTTTGCATCTGTTCATCAAGACCGAGACAGAAGATTAAGCCATCACTGTACATTATAATAATTTTTATGGGTAGACTAAACCATACATCAGTCATCAAAACGGGGTATTATTATTGGTTAATGATATTGTTCAACAATAAAATTGTTTCTTAAATGTACTTTGGACGGAAATTAAAAGTCTACGGCTCTAACATAAACTGTGGTAGAGATTAATCAAAACAAAACCAAAACTGAATAGTTATTTTGTGAATGTAAATTGTAGCTCAAATAGGTAACAGTAATGTATCTTGCTTGACATTTATGAATAGGTTTTTTATTTACCGTACTTAGTTTATTTTTTTAACCCCATCGGCATATTTACAATTTTTGTAAGGTAACAGTTTAAACCTTAGTCTTGTTACTATCTAATGATTGATTTTTTTTAGATAGCCCTATGACAAATAAAAGGGTATCTGTTTGGGATAGAAAAAGCTAACTTTAGATTGAAGAGGTGTGTATCTGTATCAAGCTGTAGTTAATGATACACTTCTTGATCCTAACAGAATCATTGTCCTTTAATTTTAAATCCCATTTTTTACTCCTCAAAAAGTATATAATTCAATTCAAACGTAATGCAGTTATGTAGTCACTTACGATCCTGAAGACACGCGAGTCCGTTGCCGTAGTAACCAGATTGGCAGACACAGCAGAAGTTGTCGTTAGAGTCCACACAAGAGGCGCGGCTGTGACACATTGCTGCGGCCACCTGGCAGCTGGCTTCCTCCACTAGGTTGTCTGCAAACGGTGAAAAACATTGTCATCGAGAAAAAAATTTAAACCAACCTGTAAACTCTCCACTACCCCTAACATCTTAGTCTCAGTTACTCTTAGTTAAAGGAGAAGTATCACTCATTACCACTACTGATAGTACTAATGACATTAGAGGTGGTATCCAACATTAAGCCATAGTCTTGAAAATCAATGTGGTATTTGCCTAAACAATAAATCAACTATTTCTCATGATAGACAAAAGTAAGGTGTCACAATAAAACTGTACAGAACTAAATGAATTTCTACTAAAATAGTTTTTTGCATCTGTTTTTTTTTTATTTAAGCTTTTGAGTAAAATATATTGCCTAGCTCACTTACCATCTCCACCAAAAGACACCTGAGGTGGTTCTACATTCCCAGGTCCTGTGTCTCCGACCCGGAACAACCAAGACCCCGGTTCATCTGTGTTACTCCATCTGGAATGTTGCCAACGTTAGACACAATAATACGGAAAACTATTACCTTATGATTGGCATATCTAATCAAAATCTGTCATCAGTTAACATAGCATTGGGCACTTTATTTCCATCTATCATGTCGTATTTCATAGCCACCTGTCATAAGAATGAGACAACAGGTCTTCCGGAGCTTGCAGACAAACATCCCATGTCAGGATAAAAGGGGCACTTAGTAGCCCACCATCATTCATACAAAGGTATGCTATAGGCCTACTCACCAGCAAATGTTGTTCAGATAATTTATCAATTAACATTTTTTTCCTAAACTTCATTAAAATAATTGACTAACCTGTCTAGATTCTGGATCTGGTCTGTTCCACTGCCTCGTAGCGTATACAGTCGTCCATCCTCGGCCACAAAGCCAGCCTGTGCTCTAGCCTCAGGTAGTCTGGAGCTCTGGCCTTGCCCCTGGACCCACTGTATACCTCCTTGACGGTACAGTAACTCCACAAACGATTCGGTTCCATCACTGCCCACCACGGCTTGGAACGTGTTTACCTGGACACAGGGTTAAGTTGTTAAAAGTTACAAAACGGATTGAAATTGTGGTTAGGTTGCTGTTAATACAAGGTGCTTCTAAATAATGTTCTTGGAGATAGACCCAGTAGGCCTAGATCTTAGTCAGTAACAAAGATAGCATCTCTTCAAAAGTAGAATGATAAACATACAGTACCGGTAGCTTAGTAGGCTATAGCATTTTGTTGGTCCTTAAAATTAAAATTAATTTGATAAAATCTTAAACTTATCATATGGTACCTTGTCAACTCCCTGTGGATAGTACCCAACCTCAATCCATGAGGCAATGAAAACACTCCGTGCATGAAACGGAGCAGATAACCTGGGGTAGAAGCGGTTCACTCGCTCGTCAAACCTTTTTATCAACTCTGGATCTTGCGTCTCTCTGTAGTAGACGTTGCCTAGAATTCAAATGAATATTGTAAAATTAAATAGTAGGTATACCAAGTTGTGAAAAATATAATTTTATTTTATTAGACTTAAATAGTTGTTACTCATGGTTTGTTCGGATAAAATATCCCTTGAGTCCCAATCACAATGAGCTGATGAAATTATAATTTGATGTTCAGGGTTAGGGTTAGTATGTCTTACCTTAAAAACAACCACTAGCTACGTCCTAACTATTCTGTAAATGTATTTTGATTGATTATTGTACCCATGAATTTGTATAAAAGTACAGGATAACGAGTTGTTTAGTTTAGTTGTGCAGGTTAAGATTACCTGTCACTAGGCCATTACTTACTGTTTTATGACTTCGTTATGGAGTTCTTTATTTATAGTGACACTGACGGTAGATGTATCTGTTAGTTTATGATTATTATTTAGAGTTAATTGTTTCTCATCTTTCCGAAGTTGGGATATAATAGAACACAACTGAACTGGTACCTATCGTTGTTTGTTGTTTGTTCGTTAGTACATTTTGAAAAATTCTCCCTCCAGTCCTAGTCCAGTCTCCACTGTCTCCACTCTCCAGTCCAGCAGGGAGTAGACAATATAACTCAACAGCTGAGAATAGTGAGAATCCCAACTGACAGTTGTTGAGATGTCTAGTCTAAGATTCGGAATTGCCAACAAAGAAAACTGATTTATAATTCGATCTACTGGGGTGTATATTCAGAAAGCTGTAGGCTATAAGATATTAAAATCATATATTGAACCATGTTCATTAAATCTTCGAAACGGGTAGCTTGATTACTGTCATTGACTTTGAGTACCTAATGCAAGTTGACTTCTCTTTCTAAGCCTGTTTTCGTTTGAGTGAGTTGATGTCGATTAAATGGTAGTTATCTATTTTAGGGCACCTGTTCTATGGTTATATCATAGACTAACCAACTAAGGGAGTATGTTTTATGTATGGTTATATGTACCTGATACATGCTCTATATGTTTTAATGCAAATTGTGACAGTATTAGCTTTACAATCTTAATCCTTGTGTTAACACATACCTTTGCCACTCAAGTCCACATTGGCATACAAGGGTGCGATAACGGGGTAGTTAAGGGGAAACTGGATACTGAAGAACATCGGAATCTCCGTGAGAAATGAAAGCAGTCCATTGCTGTTTACCTGAAAAAAAAACACATCTTTATAGACATTTTTCAAACAATGCAAAATAGATGTTTGGCAAAAAATTACGATTCATTATTTGAACTTTTTTATAAAGTACCTAGTGATATAGATGTTTTAATAGTCTACGTACACTCTTTGACACATATCTGAAAAAAATATTATTCGAACTACAGTAGGCTGGTCTTTAGTATTTATTTTCTAATAATTGTTCTTATAAGTTGTCCCTCCCTATGTTCTATGCGCTTAGCATTGATGTGAGTTTTTACTATAGTATTAACATACATAAAACATATAAACCTCGTTTAACCTCGTGCCGGTGCTGAATAACTATTGTGTTCCATGATTTGATCGAAATTTCAAACATACACTCGACGCATAATTATATTATCGACGTCGACGTGTAATTATATTATAAATTATATGCCTGTAAATATTGTTAATTGTTTGCTAATTAAAAACGGTAAAATTAAATAAATTGCTGAACCAGGTTTATGGGAGCGACGAACCAATTATATTGCTCTAAAAGTAGTATTTAAAATTATATGTGAGAGGTAATTGTTATTTCAGTTTGAAAGTTAGTGAGGTTTGTTTTATACACACAGTACAAAAACGATTAACTATGTTAACGCTTATTTTTTATTCATTCTGTTAATGTCAAGTAAAGTAAAGCATGGGAGTAAAATATTAAATGTACGAACAATTAGACAAGTTGACACTTAGTGGGCATAGCGGGGTTTGTTTTATCAGCTTGGGCCGCCTCAGCCAAAAAGAGTTAAAAGGAGGGTCTGCGCCGTTATTTTCGAGACAAAAACATTTTCCTCGCTCTCCCCTGGGGCATCGCAAATCTTGTGGACATTTTCTTCTTTGTTTTGAGTCGAGTTAGAGGTTTATCTTGTAAAAAATGTTAATATTTTTACTTAACAAAAACAGCTTACAGCAATATAAAATACAAATTTAAAATGTTAGGATACTTAACCATTGTAATTTTGTTGAATTTAAAATAAGTGTTCCTCCGTGAAAGATATTTATTAATTTTAAAACTTTCGGTGAGAATATTCTGTACAAAATTACAAAAACACCCCTCGGAAATTAGGAGTAGGTCTATTATAAAAATAACACCATATCCCAGCAAACCTACTGACTAGAAGATTTCTAGTTGCTTTAACGAAGGCTAAAGTACTAAATGAAAGTTTGCATTTAAATCCACACTCAGTATCCCTTTCTCTAAAAAACTACATGTGTCTAAAAAGAGTTCAGAAAGAAGTTGTTAATTTAGTGTGACGAAAAGCATGATTTACGTTTCATTTCCAGTAGACAACTCCTTTTTCAAAGACCCTTCCTGCGTTACCGACCCATAATAAAACCTCCAACTTCCAACCGCGCATAACACTTATACTCCCCTCAACTGCCATCTTGATGATATACCTCACATAAAACTGCCTAGACCTTCATAACTACCTGGTCATAATTGTTTATTGCTGCAGTCTGAAATGTACTTAACGAACCTGTTGAGGTAGGGATAGTAATTTTACAAAAAAATCAGCTAAGCGGACTCAATAGCTGGATTTCGTAGAATTTATGTATCTTCCACCTTTATAAACATATTACAAATTAAAATCAATAACAACTTGCAATAAATTGTTAAATTTTTCATTTACTATCCTATACCCATATTGAAATTGGTTCGACTTTTTTACTCTATTGTATTGGTTTAAGTCTAAGGCAAAGAAATAAAGGACATGATTTACGCTAGAAACAAATGAATGTGTTTCTGTGGGCCTTAAAATGAGGGAAAAATGATATGCGTGAAATGTCACACTTATTTATGTCACAAAGGTAACTTTAAGAATTCATAGTTTTATGTTACTTGTTATATAGTACTAGATTTTACAGGTTGAAGTTACATGGTTAGTTATGTTACTAGGTTTATTACATCACTTTAGACAGTTAAAGTTATTATTTGAAGTGTCCTTATCCTTCGTGTATCATATTATTTTAGACAGTTGAATTTACTTGAATAGCCATTGTTATGTAGCATCAACGTAGACATTGAAGCTACTTGGTCTATTATGTTACTAGGTTTATTACATCAGTTTACTGTTGAAGTATTCTTGGTCAATCTATAGCATCTATCTGGGTTAAACTCCATTCAAGCCGAGATTGTTTACCAACTGTTTGTTTATTTACGTCTAAACACGTTGTTCTTGATCAGACTAAACAACGTTTATTATTCTCTTTGTGATAAAACATTGTATAATAGAAGAGTTGTAATTGTACAAATTTCAAATGCTTTTCCTAAGTAAAAAATGTGTATACTATACATTGCCGTAAAAATGTATACATTGTTTATCAGTACAGTACATATCCCTACAACCTCCTATTTTTTTATGTACTATTTTTAAAATCAATAATTTTATTGGATTAAGGGTCAGACCGAAAGCGACGACGAAAGTAACATTGATAACGTAAAATTTGCTTGAAAAATCACAGATATAGTAAGAATAGTCGCACACCAGCCATCACACTCGTCTTGGGTTACCTGGTAGCATTGATTATTGCACATTGACTATTGCACATTGACTATTGCACGTTGACTATTGCACATTGACTATTGGGCATTGACTATTGGACATTGACTATTGCACATTGACTATTGCACGTTGACTATTGCACATTGACTATTGGGCATTGACTATTGGACATTGACTATTGCACATTGACTATTGCACGTTGACTATTGCACATTGACTATTGGGCATTAACTATTGTATCAATAGTCAAAGCTGGTAGTAGGTAGTGTTAAATACCTATACTAGGCCTATATGCAGAAATAAACCTCAAAAAAGTTAAATTTCATTTTAAGATCGACATGGACGAGCTGTTCAACCATTACTTTCAATAAACAAACTTTTCATTTATTTACTTACATATGAATACACTAGTAAATAAAAAAAATAGTGGCCGAAGCCTGAATCATTTAGGCTGTCTCAGTTGATAATTTCTCAGGAACAAGACACCGAACGCGTTCTTTTACACCAGTTTAATGCTCCTAGAGTATTTTTACGTTCGAATGTTTATGCTCCCTCGCACCATCTCGGTTTCTAATGTGAGTTTATTTTTACCGGACATTGACATACTAGCGGTGTCGTGTACCTTCTGGATCACACAGTTTTAGTGGCTTTTGGGGCAAACGAACTTAGTTGTCTCTTATACTAGAAAAGGCATAACGCATTTGTTTAATCTTGAACAGCCTTGCTTCATTATTAAGAATATAATATAATAGGTTACGTACCTTGGTCCGTCTTCAGTCTTATTTTAGTCTATGGATGACTAGTTTCAAGTACAAAGACCCATGGTCAAATCCTTTTTAAAACATCGTGTAGAAGCTGGTCAAAAATCCGACGGAAGTCTTCATCATTATATAAATACAGTCATCCATAGACTAAAATAAGACTGAAGACGGACCAAGGTAGGTACGTAACCTATTATATATTCGAATATCAGTCTTGGTGGCAATGCTGTTTTCATTATTAAAGTTAATTAGTCGGTATTATTTACCTGAAGTATGTTAGAAATCTGTAAAACATGCCTAATTAACTTCGCCCTAAATTTTTTTTTTTAATTTTTCTACCTTTGTTCTGAGTGAGTTACACAACTATTGGAGGTGTGGCTTGATGCACGATAGCCATCCTTTATCAGGATTAAATTCAAGGCGTAACTGTACCTCTGTACCATGTTTTATTGCAAAAACAAAATTACACTTATAAAATATGTGAAACTTCTGAATGATCGTCATTCAGGGTCTCAATCTTCTTCATAAACTATACATTTTTAAACGTTTTAAACAGCAAAAGCAAATCCTCAAGCAATCAGATCAACTCAAAAATTTGAGGAGTGCCTGTTAAGTAAATCGTGAAAAACTCTAAAAATAAGTAAATTTTAATACAGTAACTAAAGTTTTTAATATTTTAGTTTTCTGTATGTATCTAATAATAGGTATTATTTAGAGACCAGATAAAAAACAGTTAGCTGTCCACCTTGTGCACTATGAACATATGTAAAACATGCTGTATCGTAATTTTAAAAACTTAAAACTATCTAACCTAAACCAAAATGAACGCAATTTCCACATCACAAGAAATGTATTAAAAGCGTCAATGCACTGTCACACTAAGTTTTATTTTTTGAAAACTGGCAAGGAGGAACATCTAATCAAAACAAGCTTTCAAAAACAGTAGATGTAAGGGACTATATTTTCATCAAAATTAAAGAGTAGCACAAATTTTAATTTCTAACTAAATTTATGCGATCGTTGCTAAATTCATACCATTAAAATTAGACCAATATAAGCATCTGGTATACAGCATTGATACAGCATTGCCTGTGGATACCCAAATGCAGTCAAAATACTACTACACTATCATAATATTAGCATAATAAAACATAACAACTTAATTGACACATTTATAAAATCATCAATCCACCTGAACTAATTCATTGCAGATTTGAAAGGTTGTGTTCAGTCTAGCCTTTATAATGGAGTAAGTGACGGCCTTTATCGTGCAATTGACCTTAAACTTGCTCTAGACATTAGACAATCTGTGCTGTGTTGTCTGTAGGTCGAGCGGTAAAGGCCATCTCTCGATAGACACATGTGCCGGGTAATCAGCTGATAGTCATATGGAAGAGGTAACATTTGTTTAATAAGACTCTGGAATTTCTAGGGTGGTTCGTCATGGTCTTGTTTGGAGTGGGATGATATTCTCTATTATTAGAGTTTAATCTATTTCACATTACAAAAATCTCTAGCGCAGAAATAAACGTTCATGTTGTTATTTTTCTAGGTTACTTTATGCAAATGAAAATAAAAATGAATTAATACCTGCAGATTGCCTACAGTGGTCCTCGATCATCCAATAGGATTACGTATTTCGGTATTATTGTACCATCTTCATATCCTATTTTACAAAACTTGAATTTTTCGACAAATGTAGTGT